CAACACAATGCAGCCATAATTTTTACCTTGTTAGGATAACAAGCCGGGCCAAATTTGCTTGATATCTACCCCATGTAAAAAGTATGTGAATGCATTTTAAGTTTATATAAGTGGCATTAATTAATTAATTTTCCCCATGTATTTACTCAAATATATAAATTTATCTGTTATTTCCGTCCAAAATTTGAAAGCAAATAAACTACTCCACAAATCTTCGAGCAATATGGTTAAGTTATGCAACTGAATAATATTAAAAGAATTAACGCACGTAGAAAATTAATTAATTGTATAAAATTATATAGACCTGCGTATATATATAGCATTCGCAACGAAATGGAGTACAACAATAATCTTTTTATTTTTCAAACTGCACGGGTGCAGCAAGGATGTTGAAAATTGGCGCGAACTCCACCACATGAATTAATGGCACGTTTTCCCCTGCCAGATAGATCGAATTCCTAAGGTCCCAATGTGCACCACGTTGTTTGAATGTTTTGACTCTATTGCAATGTGATATAGACTTTCTCTCCGATCCTCTCAGGACGGCTTAAGTAGTCAAGCAAACGCAGGAAATGAAAAGAAAAAATAATAACAGTTTTTTCCCATTATTTTGGTGTACACAGCACATGCATAGATCCATTAGAAACTCTGTCACGAAAGCTCTCTGTGTAGAATAAGAGCCCCGATGCATCATGCATGCATGTCCAATATTTGCAGCAAGAGTGGCTTAACAACAACAACTTCGCCTCTGTTTAATTTTTAAATATATCATGTTGTTCATTTTTAAATATGATGTATGATTATTCCTCTTATTCAAAACTTTAATTAGTGCAAATATAAAAGGTGTAGTACATTTAATTACAAAGTAAGTCACAATAAAAATAACTAATATTTACACAATATTTTTAATATTACAAAAGGTCAACGTGTCTAAAACTCAACTTCAGTTCTTCATATAAAAAAAGATGGAGAGATATTTGATAGTCTTAAATATGATTAAATTTAGCGAATATAGCATATATATATATATACTGTCAGGGTTATGGATACCACATACCTAGTAGTAGTTGACTAAATCTCAGCAGGACCCACCACATACCATGTCTTATACGAAAACATGCGGATATAGAAGGAGTTCCGGATAAGGAAAGACAACCAGAGTTCTACATGGAAACGACAAGGACTACTCGGATTGTATCCATATTGGTTTCTCTAGTTCTACTTGGACAAGGGGACACTTATGGGTATAAATACAAGACCCCATGAGGAGAGGGGAGACACCGACCATAGAAGGCACGAACAATAGATCAAGATAGAAGATCAACATACAAACAAACATACACCAAGACAAGACGCCGGATATCGACTTCAGGGATAAGCACGGCTAGTCCCCTGCGGTGTCTCCGGATACTATCAGGAGAGACGAAAGCGTTATCTCTGATCTCACCGGGCACCGATTCGAGGAGGAAGACTATCCTGTTGTTGACTATGAGTCAGACCTTCAGACTGCCATATCGACAACTGTTAGATAGGCTACCCCAAATATTGCACTGGTATGATTATGGTGAATAAGAGAAATACCGGCTTCGGCCAATAGGATGTAGGGTTATTACCTGACAATTCAGGGGCCCGAACCTGTATAAAAATCCCTGTCTCCATCTTTTACCTCAGTCTCGCGTATATCCTAGTACCAACGATCCCCATACTATACAAATACCGGAATCGCGACATCAAACGTTGACATATACCTCAACGGGTTAGGATCTGAATAGGCGTGAGTGCATCTGTGCACGTGCGTGTCCGATTTATACTTCTATAACGGTAAATCTAATTGGAGAGGCATCTCCAATTAGTCTTAACCAGAGACACCCACGTGCTAGTCTTTAGGAGTTTTGGTTGTTATTAATCTATTGAGCAAGTAGGAGAAATATTCCTATCATCTATACTTCAAATAAAATTTTCTCTTAAATTACTTATCCGATTTAAAATCCGATTACACCGTTGTGTTCGTAATAATTAAATCTTTACAACAAGATCTTACATGATTATATTTTGATGAAAAATCACAAATTACTTTTATGATATGTCTAAATTACTTTTAGATTTCACTAAGTTACTTCTTAGACATATAAAAGTAAATTCAGTAAAACCTAAAAGTAATTTACATATATTATAAAAGTAACTTATAACAAAAAGAAAAAGAAAGTAACTTTAATTAATGCCTTTTTTCACTGAACAAATTATCTCATATATATATATATATATATATATATATATATATATATATATATATATATATATATATATATATATATATATATATATATATATATATATATATATATATATATATATATATATATATATATATATATATATATATATAGTTATTTTTAGATTTGATTAAAATACTTCCTATACATTCAATAATGCTCTAAGGTGATTACTTTTATTATTTTTTAGTAATTTCGTAATTTGTGCTGATTAATTTAATTTCTAGATAGAGTCATGTTTTTATCTCTACAACGGATTTACTTCAAATGGCATGCCAAAGTTACCTTCGTTTTGTTCTAAGTTACTTTTATAATATATGTAAATTACTTTTAGGTTTTACTGAATTTACTTTATATATCTAAGAATTAACTTAGTGAAAACTAAAAGTAATTTAGACATATCATAAAAGTAATTTGTGATTTTTCATCAAAATATAATCATGTGAGATCTTATTGTAAAGATTTAATTGTTACGAACACAACGGTGTAATCGGATCGTAGATCGGATGAGTAGTTTAAGAGAAAATTGTATTTGAAGTATAGGTGGATGTTGCCTCTTATAGACGGAGTGGTAACTGTTTTAGACAAACCAGCTACCACTAGCTGCATAGTGACGTCCCTTCTATAAATATTGCATTTAATTTAGCTTCAATAGTTAGCTTCAAGAGTTACATAAAAAATACAGTACATAATACTTCCTCCGTCCGTCCGTGCAGTTTTTAGCCTAAAGATTTATCGCAAACAAATGTAGTTTTACAAGACCTTTTAACGTTCGGTTTTTCATACTATTGGATACCGAAATTTCAGCATATCTTAATAAGCCCATCTCTGCCAGAACTTTCGGCCCAGACCAAAATGGCCTACTAAAGGCCCAAGATGAATTGCTCCCCACTCGTGCATATCCAGCCCAACATAAAATAGCCTATCTGCAGCCCAGCAAGATGGCCCAACAACTTATGGCTATCACAGGAATAAGTCCACTTTGGCTCCCTCAATAAAGGTGTAATCTGATTTGTATCCTTCAACCGCAATTCCAGATATGTTAAACCCCCCTCCCTCCCCCACCCCCAACTATCAAAACCGATGCAAAATTACTCCCTCGGTGGTTTTGAGGATGGTTTTCACTGACATGGACCGTTGACCTAGTCGTGTGGGGCTCACATATCAGCCTCCTATCTCTAGTACTTTACCTCTCTCTCCTGGTGGCGGAGGACCTTGAGGGAGCCGAGGAGCTGCACGGCCTCCATGCCTCTTAGTGACGGCAGGTCGGTGGGAGTTTGAGGAGAGGGTGGAGAGAAGCGGCAGCCCTCACCAACATCCCCAACCTCCACGGACACATCCACGAGACTTCTTGGTTGCGCGTCCATGGCTACCGCGACTAACCCAAGAACTAATCTCAACTTCAATACTACCAGCGAGGAATTCACGAGCATTGACAATCGCGCGCGCTGCCACACGCAATCTTGACATCGTTGGGCCGATGGCCGAACACATTCGCAGCGAGGCAAGCAGCGATGCCAGTGTGACTACCAGAAGAGCTGCTGGCGCTTCGGTTTGCTCGACGATGATGACATTGGGGGAGGGGTAGAGAGGGGGAGAGAGTTATTCGCCACCCCACCGGTGGAGGACGACATTGCGAAGGTAGACGCGGCCCGCGGTGGTGTCCTCCCATAACATCTCCTTCCTTCCCTGCCTTTTTGGCCTTCTTGGAAAGCTACAATTTTAACAAGCGACCGATAGAGGAACGAGCTAACCATGGGCACCACCCCATGGATGCGGAGCTCGATGCGACGACGCCGGCTACCATCCTTGCCCCCAAGTGGCACGTGGAGGAGCGGCGCTTCCGCTCTTCATCGGTGGCTGGCTATCCTCGAGCGCTACCTGAACGTAAGGAAGGAGAGAGGGTCTGGGATAGAGAAGGAAGGAAAGAGAGAGTAGAGGGGAGTATGACATCAGTGGCGGATCCAGAAAATCAATTCGTTGGTGTCATAACGTATCTATCGGTGTCATAGTATGCTAATTATACTTAGAACATAATGTTATAATATATGGATAAGCAGTTTTACTATAAGTTTTACCGAAAGTCGTCGGTGTCGCTTGACACCGACACTTATACTGTAGATCCACCCCTGATGACATGTGGGACTCACTTTTTTTTAATTTTACTAGAAAAAATACCCGTGTGTTGTAACAGGTAAATGCTATTTTAATTTTATTATTGTTATATACGTTTTAGTTAAGGTGAAATCTATTACGAGAACTCGTTTGGATATATATATTTTAGAAAATCATGAGTTTCAATTAGAAGTCCGATCATCTCAAGTTAGCATGCGAATTATTTTTAAAGAGATTTCTTATATGATTTTTTATGTATTTACAAAAGCAAACGAATTTAAAACCGACTCGAATACGCATCTATATTCCCCAAAACAAACTTAAAAACAGACTCATACTCAGATGACGTACCAAAGTATCGGCAAAAATATCTCCAATTTTTATAATAGTAGAGAGAAGAGATAGAGATTTGATGACTGGGATGCCACATGGACACCACGACAGACAATACCACTATCAATACTGTTCTAGGAATTAAATTGCACCGGTTTTAATAATTGAGGGGTACAAATTAGATTGGACCTATATATGAGGGAGCCAATGTAGACTTATTCTGGCTCTCACAAGAATCGGCCCAGCAAGCCCACGAAACAGCAAGATATCAGAGTCTCCGTCCGTATGAGCCATTCATTCGGTTGGTCGGCTCGCGATCGCACAGCCGGAGACCGAATCGGATAAGCTCGCCGGAGTAATCGCCGCCGATGCCACCGCCGCCGCCGCCGCTCCTCTTGGCCGCGGCCGTTCTCGCTTCGGCGGCGGCGGCACTCGCTGACCCTCCTCCCCCTCCGTCCCCGACGCCGTGGCCGGAGCGGTTCCACGCGGTGCTTTTCACGAACCTGACCCAGACGAGCGGCGGCGGGAAGCTGCAGATGACCGACCTCTACTACGACTGGCCTGGGGGGCGCAACCTCAACCTCGTCGCCGGCCAGCTCTCCGGCGACCCGGTCTACGACGTCGAGTGGACCAACGGCACCTCCTACTACTTCGACTCCGCCTCCTGCCGCACCTTGCTGTTCCCCGTCGGCATCCTGCCCCCCGACTGGCTCGCCGCCGGCGCCGCCTACCTCGGCCGCGAGGCCGTTGACGGCTTCGACTGCCACGTCTGGACCAAGGTCGACTTCATCTGGTACTACGAGGACGTCGTCACCCACCGCCCCGTCCGCTGGAACTTCTACACCGGTAGATCCATTTGATCCCTCTTAAGAAATTTCTTTTCTGTTCTTGATTGATTGATTGATTCCAACACTATTGTAAACATTGTAGTAGTGTAGTGCTCACTTTGTATTCCTGTAATTTCTTGGTCTGGCAATGTGATCTGTTTCATATGGTCTAGCTTGCTCTGCAGTTTATAAATTTATTCAATTGGTTTCTTGAGTCTCTTATAAGCATTATGATGATTCTAAGCAATATTTATTTGATAATAGAGTAATGCAGTGTTTTGATACTTATGTGCAACATTGCAAATGCCAAGCACTCACTATTAGTCTCTGTCTCTAGTTTTGTGAACCAGTTAATCTGATGATTGATATGGTCTTGCACTGTAATTTGTAGTGACGCAACCAGTAAATTCAGTCCATTTCTTGAATCATTGATGCTGTATTGTTATGTTCCTATGATATTCTTGTGCAAGGATACACTATTATTTCTGTGATCAATTTAGTTTGGATATGACACTGCCCTTTGCTTTGCGGAAATGCAGCCTAAATGTCTTCATTGGTTCAGTTCGTTCTTGATTCAGAAATGCAATGACTTTTGTTTTTTTTTTTTTTTTTTTCCCAGGGATGCAGCAGCATGTGATGAGCTTTGAGGTGGGTGGAGCCCTAGAGGATTCCAAGTGGCAGGCACCGGCATACTGCTTCAACGATCAAGAAGCCGCCACAAATTCCGACACCGCCAACGACAATGAAGACGGTGAGGTCGATGCGATGAGCAGCCTCCTCAAGTTCTTCAGGGCTCAGCAAACAGCCGTGGCAGCAGTATGACTATGAGCAAGACTTATCACTTATGAGAATCTTACTTCCTCCGTTTCATATTATAAGACTTTCTAGCATTATCTACATTCGTATATATGTTAATATTAACATCTACATGAATATGGGTAATGCTAGAAAGTTAGGGGCTGTTTGGATGACTTCCCTAGTTTACCACAAAATATTTGGCAAAGTGTGGCATGCCATACATTGTATAGCTAAGAATTTGTTGGCCACAATCGTGGCAAGTTATGGCAAAAAAAAATTACTCAATGACAAGTGGGCTAGCTTGCTAAAAAATTGTGGCATAACTCACTTGTGGCATGAAACAACCACTAGGCTTAATTGGTCAAACTTGATTGCCACAACTTTGGCAAAGGTTGGCACTCAACCAAACAACCCCTTATAACCTGAAACGGAGGTAGTAGCAATTATCCATTGGCGGTCTGGTCCAGTCTGTTCTTGGATCATGTTGTAATAATGCATAAAAAGCGTTTATGTATATACTCCCCTTTTATGTAACCAAGCTCATATATTAGAGGATGGAGGTGCAATAAGTTCGCAAGTGATGAATCTCAAAATAAAAACAGTAAGGACAATGCAGAGTAACATACTGATGGTATGTATGTAATCACGACCAGAAAATTTTTGAAGTACGGTGTGCATCTACTGAGATTGAGCTACTGAATTCAGTTCGGAATCGACAACGCGTTTGTGCCTTCTTCGGTTTGAAAGGGAAGCATGGCGAATTACTGACTTGTGAAAGTTAGTTAATTTCAGCAGGCACATCTGCTTCAATAGATCAAATGTCACATTCTTTGTAGATCAAAAGTTTCTGGATTTGCTTTGCAATCAGAACTTGAACCAAACTTGACATTCTCTGTCATATTAGCACACAACATTTTCATATTGCTGAAGTTCAGAAACGTTTGTTTACACATGACAACAGGATTCAGGAAGAAACAGAGTGGATTGAGCAGGTCATCAATGGTGACATTCTCATCAGTGAAAAGTAAGCCTTGCTCATACTGAAGCTGCTGCTGCTGCTGCTGGAGCTCCTACAAACCTGAAGAAGGCGTTCATCACATCGAGCTTGCCATCCTCACCTTCTACCCTGTCGTCGGTGACGGTGGCTGCACCGGGATCGGCGATGACGGTGTGTTGATCGCTGAAGCAGCGAGCCGGCGCCTGCCATTTGGAGTCCTCAAGAACTCCACCCACCTCGAAGCTCATCACATGCTGCTGCATACCTGCGGAAACAGATCGGAGCACACACAAATCATGTCACTGTTGCATCAAGTTACTGAACCACTGAACAGAATGAAACTGCATTTCTTTAGAAACAAATCACTGCAGAAATTTTGAGTGCTGCCATGGGCACAATGCTGCATCAAGACTCAAGGAATTAACTGAAATTATGCATTGCATCTCTGCCAGCTTCTAAGCAAGACGATATCAACCATCGAATTAGCTGCTTGGCACATCAAGAAACTGGATTAGACTAGCTGGGAAGTTTTGACATTTGCAATATAGAAACTAGAAATGTCAGAGTGATGCATCAGAAATTGACAGCAAGGCAATAACTACAATCACAATGCCACACCAAGAAACTAGAGAGAGAGAAATGAAGCACTAGAATAACTGCAACTCTGAAAATCAAGAAACTAATATGGAGATTTGTGCAGGTAGGTAGGTAGTAGGTAGTATTACCATTGAAGAAGTTCCAGCGAACGGGGCGGTGGGTGACGACGTCCTCGTAGTACCAGACGATGTCGACCTTGGTCCAGAGGTGGCAGTCGAAGCCGGCGACGGTCTCGCGGCCGAGGTAGACGGCGCCGGCGGCGAGCCAGTCGGGGGGCAGGAGGCCGACGGGGAACAGCTTGGTGCGGCAGGAGGTGGCGTTGAAGAAGTAGGAGGTGCCATTGGTCCACTCGACGTCGTAGGTCGGGTCGCCGGAGAGCTGGCCGCGGATGAGGTTGAGGTTGCGCCCCCGCGGCCAGTCGTAATAGAGGTCGATCAGCTGCAGCCGGCCGCCGCTCCCCGTGAGGTTGGTGAATACCACCGCGTGGAACTGCTCCGGCCACGGCGTCGGGGTCGGGGGGTCGAGTGCTGCGGCGGCGGCGGCGAGGAGGAGGAGCGGGAGAAGGCGGAGCGGCGGCATTATCCGTTTGGTGAGCGAGGGACGGAGCAGAGCAGCCACTCTCAGCCCACTGGAGAGATGTTGCTCTGCAGAGTGGGGCCAGCATATAAATTTTGAGGGGTAACCAACAACTTTTCGCAAAAACATCCTATCGAATCTAATCTTTGTACAAATGTATGAAGCATTAAATATAAATAAAAAAACTAATTGCACAGTTAGGGGGGAAATCGCGAGATGAATCTTTTGAGTCTAATTAGTCAATGATTAGCCATAAGTGCTACAGTAACCCACATGTGCTAATGACGGCTTAATTAGGCTCAAAAGATTCGTCTCGCGGTTTACAGGCGAGTTATGAAATTAGTTTTTTCATTCGTATAAAAAAACCCTTCCGAAATCCGGTCAAACGTCCGATGTGACACCCAAAATTGTTCATTTCATCAACTAAACAGGCCCTAACTATATGGCATACTACCAATAAAGATTGAGATACTAGAGGGTGTTTAGATCCCGGGGTGTAAAGTTTTGGCGTGTCACATCGAATACTATATATGGTGTCGTATAGGGTGTTCGGACACTAATAAAATAATAATCCATCATTAGCAAATGTTTACTGTAACACCACATTGTCAAATCATGGAGCAATTAGGCTCAAAAGATTTGTCTTGCAAATTAGTTGCAATTTATGCAATTAGTTATTTTTAAGTCTATATTTAATACTTCATGTAGGTATTTAAACGTTCGATATGATATGGTGTAAAATTTTTGTGTGTGAACTAAACAGGGTCATAGTCATACTCTATCCTTCCAACGAAAAAGGAATGAGATAATCTATTCTATACCATTGAGTTTGTTCGAGTTCAACAATTTATCATTACCATTTTCTCTTTTTATAATATACCGTCGACTTTATCAATTGTTCTATAATACGTCATTGGTTTAGACATTTTTTTCAAAAAATACTTAAAAAAAACCGTTAAAGACATACAATAATAACAATTGATTTATCTCATTAGAAGTATCAAAAATATGAAAATTTTTATATGGCCTCGTTACACAACATGGAAGTTTGTATACATGTTTCAAGTTTTTTTTTTTGCATATTTAGCTTTTAGAAAAAAAAATATTTTTATGTGGTATATGAGAGAAAATTTGCTTATACGAGAGATAACAGCACAAAAATATATTATATGGTGTATGAAAGATGTTTGATATTAAAACATCAATAAAAAGTATTTTATATAGCATATAACATATAATTTATATTTTTTTAAATATAAATGTAAAAAACTTGAACAAACTTCCATGTTTTGCAAGGAGGCCACATAAAAGTTTTCATATTTTTTAAAACTTCTAATTAGGTATAAATCAATTGTTAATCTTTTATGTCCATAAAGGTATTTTGAGTATTTTTGAAAAGAATGTGCAACCTAATAGCATATTGTAGAATAATTGATAAAGTAACCGATATATTATAGAAGGAGACAACGTCGATGTCAAATCATCGAACTCGAACATTGGCATCAACATTGTCTCCTATAATATATCGTACAATCTAGAAACGCTTAGAATTGGTAGCTAAGGAACTTTATTCCAGTTTGGATGGCGTAGTATCTATATAATTTTGGAATAGAATCTACGTGATTTTGGAAACATTATTTTAGTAGATCATATTATTGGTAGAAGTTGGGGGTTTGTCTCATCACGTATTTTTTTAACCTCTTTTCTGTTCACTTCTGGGTTTTTTTGGTTATGTGTCCACGAGCAAAGACTAGAGATGTAATACATTTTCATTATTAAAAAAACTAAAAAAATTATTTTCGTAGATGAGACCCTTCTATTTTTTCAGACGGGTATCGCTTTCGGAACCAAATGTCCACATACGAAAACGGTAACGGTAACACTTGTGTAATTCCACCCGTGTTAAGTCGTGCACTTTCACCGAAGCGTACATAATCTTGGACACTCACGCGCGTCCCTAGCCGTGTCGGATGCAGATCACACAACGCTGGCCCTCCCGGCCTCGTATACGATCGAGAGTGCCTAGCCGTGTCGGATGCTCTCTATAATTAATTTAATTAATATATAGCTCGATCAGCCAAGCCCTATGATCAATTGCAGATTATTATATATTTTCCTAGAAACTTTTCCTGCCCTAAATAATCTTGTTTCGTCGATTGATTGATTGATCGATCTAATTCGCCAAGCTACTAAGCTAGCGATCGATCGATAGGATGGGCAAAACTGAAGCTGCAGGTACGTATTGCGTGTAATGTTTTTTTTGGAGAAATATATTGCGTATAATGTTTAAGCAAATATGAAAATCTTAATTAGTATTGTTATTAAGCCAATATCCATAATGCAGATCGAAGGTTCTTAAATATATAATTAGTCGGTGATCATTTATGCATGGTCAAGTTAAATTAATCTCGACTTGTTGACTTGCCTGATTATTAGCCCGTTAATTTCGATCTAAGAAGCCAATAGCTTTTTGCTGATGTGCATCCGTGCATGTCTGGTGATGATTTCGCATATCTTATTAGCCGGTCGGTTGACTTGTCTTGCGCGGTTCTTTCCTGATTAAGATTTTGATTTTATCTCCATTTTTGTTAGCTCATTTTTGAAACTACTAAACGGTGTGTTTTAAAAATATGTGAAAACTTTTTATATAGAAGTTGTTTTAAAATATCAAAATATATATATTTATCAAGTTTATAATAATTAAAACTTAATTTCATTTGTCTGTGTAATTGTGTGAAGCAGGTAGTGCGAGTTTGTACCCAGGGAGCAAAAGCGATCCCTGCGGCGAACCTTACAAGTATACATTACAGGTAAACAAAACGACAATAAATTCAGTCTCAGTTATCTTACTTAATTTGTTTTATTTGTGTTAATTTCATTGCTTAAGAGCGTAGGTGGGTAAACCGTGAACCCCTTAGTAAGCAAAATAAGCAGATTCATGGTTTATTTTGGTATAACTATGTTTTGTCGGTTAGCCACCAACATCTTGCTTATATCATGGGTCGATATCTTCATGATTAAAAACAAATTAGTGTTCAAGTGATCGACGATTGATCAGAAAATATATATATCATGATATTACTTGTGTTTATATATTGACAGTGCCTGAGCAGCAACGACTGGAAGATTGGCAATTGCCGGTCGTTGATGGACACGCTGGCCAAATGCCGTGCCAATAATGAAAAGATATATTTGCTAGACGACATTTGCCCGATATTACACTAGCGCTTCAACAATGTGAGTATCGACGATTTTTCGATATATTTATATATATATATATATATATATATATATATAGTTCTAGCATTTGCTAACTAATTTGAGTTATTTAATTCAGAAAAACCGATTATTTATGTTATTTTTGTTTATATTGTATGCACAACTAATATTTGTGTTGTATTATATATAATACTACCTCCATATTTTAATGTATGACGCCGTTGACTTTTTGTCAAACGTTTGACCATTCGTCTTATTAAAAAATTTATGTAATTATCATTTATTTTATTATGACTTGATTCGTCATCAAATGTTCTTTAAGCATGACATAAATATTTTCATATTTGTACAAAAATTTTGAATAAAACGAATAGTCAAACGTTGATCGAAAAGTCAACGGCGTCATACATTAATACGGAGGGAGTATGTATTTTCCCCACAGCGCCTCTTTATCAACTCGGACAATATTGCGGGACAGCAGTTCGAAATGTACGAGCTCCAGAGCAAATGCTCCTCCAAAATACACTCCTACTATATCTCAAGCAAAAGGGATGAAAAACAAATGCTTTTTTATTAAGGTACCCTCGGATAGATATGGGCCGTCCATTCAATATGATCCAATGTACAAGAATCAACACTACTACACCCGTATCTGTTTATTCTCTGTATCCTATTGTTTTATATGATCCAATGTACCCTATTGTTTTGGACTTATCCTTTGATTATTTTCTTAAACACTTGTTTGGAAAAGGAGATTCTGCTATCTGATCCAAATAAACACAGTACATGGTGTTTTGCCTGCATGCATGCAGCAGGTATCTATGAAAGGATGCTAGTTCTTCCTCTGTTTTTCTTCCTTCTACGGTTGAAAATATGACTTGCATGTGCAAATTAAAATCTAAATCATTCGATAATCTTACAACAACCATACAAGTTCGTTTCCTCATGGATATGTTTTGGAGCAGTTAGTTGATCGTAGCAGCAGCTAGAGAAAATAACGGCGAGCCGGCCGGTGCCGATGATCAAATCTCCGTATGCCGTGTAGTGAGATGGCTAGAGAGGTTGTCGCTTTAAGAGAATCATATCTTACCGTAAAGTTCTCATCCACTAACTCCTTAAATTTAACATATAAAGATGCCACATCATCATTCACTAACAAGATACCACATCATCATTTACTAATTAACAAGATGCCACATCATCATCCACTAACAATTATCACATTTAAACATCATGCAAACATGCTATATATTTATATTTTTTATAATTTAAGAGCTTTTCAAATACAAACATGTGAAATTATCATCCAAGCTTAACATATAAAGATGCCACATCATCATCCACTAACAAGACACCACATCATCATCCACTAATTAACAAGATGCCACATCATCATCCACTAACAACCATCACATTTAAACATCATGCAAGCATGCTATATCTTTATAGTTTTTATAATTTAAGAGCTTTTCAAATATAAACATGTGAAATTATCATCCAACATAATTCACATAATGTTTCAATGTATATCTTTATTATGTTTTATGATATCCTATATACTTATATAGTTCATCCTCACTTAGTTAGTGCTTAAATGATTAATCTATGGTCTAAATTATCTTTCTCCTTTTTTCCTCTATTTAGTCATATCACATCAATTATTTTTAGCCTTTACATGATTAATCTACGGTCCAAACTATCTCCCTACTTTTTTTCTTCCATAAAGTCATACCACCTTACTTTTTTCGTTTGAATCACCATTCTACATACTATTTAAATTAAAATTATCATAAACCACATTAATTTACTTAATCTGATATTATCTAGCTATTACACGTTATTTTTTTTATTGTTATCGTACTAAA